TGATGCTACTGATAATACTACTCTCAATTACCCACCATCATCATCAACATCTTAGGTAGGTATTGTTTTCAAGGAAGAGGCTGCGAAAATTGTATTTGAACTTGGACATACTGAAAAAATTAAAGACGGAGCTGATGCTGGTTCAGGAACCATTCTCAATGATGTTGGGAGTTTTGGTAACATAACAGATCATGTGCGTAACATGTGCAGCAGCCTTGGAACAATCTATTTTCGAAACTTGGCAGACAGTTATCCAGAAACAAAGCAGGAATACAGTGGAGTGAATCGCTTCCTAAATTCTAGTGTCTTCAAACGGGTTTTGCCAAATGGTGATATCGTTGATCGTGACTGGCTTGTTTATTCTCCAGCCAAGACATGTGTTTTCTGTTTTCCCTGCATTCTGTTTTCATCTGACTGGTCACAGTTGTCTGGCTCAGGATTTAAGGATTGGAAGAATATGACACAATACTTAAAATCCCATCTAATCAGTGCAAAGCACATACAATCAGTTCTCACTTTATGTCAAAAAAGAGTTGCTGCTGGGAGAGTTGACGAGCAATTGCACAACAATATGTTGGAGCAGCGCAATTACTGGAGAAAGGTCCTGCAACTATTACTTTTCTTTGTGTCCTTCTTCGAGGTAGCAATAAAGTTGTTGGTTCCAGAGAAAATGGGAATTATTTGGGCAACTTGGAGCTGATTGGTCAATTTGATCCATTTTTGAAACAGCACATCTGTACTCATGGCAATTGCAGACGCGGTCACACATCATGTTTATTAAAAACAAGATGTGAAGAATTAATTGCAATGATGGGTGAACAAGTTATGGGTTTCATAAAGGATGAGATTTTAAAGTCACGGTATTTATAGTTTCAGTAGTTTCCACTCCTAATAATACCCATTGTGACCAGCTGACCATAATTCTTTGTTACATTAATATGGTGGATTACGAGCCTGTGGAGCTTTTTTTGACATTTATCAATATATCGAGTCACACAGGGCAGAATCTTGCTGACACACTGCTTCAGTACTTATCAGATCAGGATATCAACTACAAAAATTGCCGTGGTCAGACATATGATAATGCCAGCAATGAGTCTGGTAAATATATTGGCATGCAACAAATCCTGAAAAACAAAAACAGTTTAGTGGACTACATTCCTTGTGCTGCCCACTCGTTGAACCTAGTTGGCCAGTCAGCTGTGGATTGTTGCGTTGAAGCAGTTTCATTTTTTAACATATTGAATTGCCTGTATACTTTCTTTGTAGCATCAACACATCGTTGGGATGTCATGATGACCCATGTTAAAAACCAACCAGAAAGCCTTGTTCCAAAATACCCATCAGATACCCCGTGGTCTACTCGAGCTGATGCTGCAAAAGCAGTGTTCAAGAGGTACCATAATTACAAAGTGCTCTTCAGGAGATATCAGGAGATTGTAATCAGAATGGTAGCACAAGGAATGAAGTGGGTTCATTGGCCAAACACATGGATACTATTGAAGTTGTCCTATTGTGTGAACTTTGAAATGAAATTCTGCAGAGGTTCAACATTAATAGCAAGTTATTGCAAAGTTCTACAATCGAATTAACTCCATAAAATTAATGATGGAGATGCCGCAGATGCTATGAAAGAGATGTCAAGCCAGCAAAACTTCAAGGTCAATACCTTCTATGTCATCATCAATCAGCTAAAAAATGCATTAAAGAAACGCTTTAAAGCTTACTCAATTGTGCTGCAGAGAATTGGAGTTATGACTGAGTATGACTCTATGACCGATGAAAATATTTACACTGCTGTTAAATGAATGGTTACTGTATACTTGAAACACCTTTGTTCTGATTTTCCAACAGAATTTCTACAATATTCGTGTTGGTATAAAGAACAGAAAAACTATGAAGAAGGATCAAGTGCACAATATCATTTTGATTCAAGTGCTCAGAAGATGTTTAAAATGCTGCACAATTCTGGTGTATATCAAGCATTTCCAAATACTGAAACAGCACTTCGGATCTACTTATGTCTGATGTCAACCAATTGTTCAGGTGAACGTTCGTTTTCTCAATTGAAAATAATTAAAGATGCAAAACGATCAACAATGGCTCAACAGCGTATTTTGTGCCTTTACTTCAGTGCATTACAAGTGATTTGCTCAACAAGGTCAACTTCAAAGACTAATTGACAAATTTGGAGTTATAAAAGCGCGAAAATTTTAAATAATTTAGTTTTTGCCTAATAAATGTTCTTTTTAAATTTTACTTTTCTTCTTTTTGTTGGAAAGACCGTATTACCTGTATTTTCAGGCCACTTATTAAAATGTGCCTTAGGGCCAACAAAGCCTTAATCCAGCACTGCATAGAACTAATGAATGTATATTTTACTATTGAAAAGTTTCGCATGGATTTGTAGATAAACTTGAGTATACGCCATATTCAAATAAAGTTGTCCATGCGAATTGCGCCGTTTTCGGCTTTGAAAAAACGTTTTCTAAAGGTTTTTTAAAGGTCCCGTAAAATACTAAAATAAATAAAAGAAAAAAATTTATTAAAACGTTTTTTGAACGTTTTTTGAATGTTTTACTTATACAAACATCCTTTAAACGACCATTAAATGTTTTCAAAATGTTTGCAAAACGTACTTGTGCTCATTGGGAAGCTTGAGGGATATTTTTCTATTCATTAATAAACCGCAAAAGACTTGACTTTCATTGTTAGTCAGGGGAAAAAGTAAAGTGAGATTAACGACATACAATGCAATGGAAGTATTTATTTGAGTCTCAGGTCCCCGATGTATGTCAAAATACAGTAAAGCGAGTTGTTTAGGTAGATAAATATAAAGTTACAAACTGCATGATTTTATTTTAAATTTACTTAAATTAGTCTTTAACGACATGAACTAACATTTATTTGTCGGATTGGTAACAGCAATCAACAATAAACTAATAAGCGTAAAATCACACAAACAAACTTTACCGTGTACACAGACACTTGTCTAGATGCCTAAGACGACAACAACAATAGCGATTCCCCGCATCAGCCCACGCTAAATTCTTTTTTTTTTTTTTTTTTTTTTTTTTTTTTTTTTTGTCTTTTATCAAAGCTTTACAAATACGTGATCATAAATATAAACTAGTTCGTTTACATTGTATAAAAAAAATACCGTACATATAATAAGAAAACTTTTTTTAATACAAATAATAATATATATAAAAAAGTAACACTGTTAAAAGACGCGGGAAACTTGCAGAAGACCATTTTGGTCTTGTCATCAAGAAACCGCTTTTAGTTGCGATATTTTGTATACTTAATTTATTAAGAAATTTCAGTTTGTCAAAGTCTCATGGTGGCATAAGAGTCACACATAAAAAGCTACTAGATAATCAAAAACAAAAAACGGAAAAGAGCTGTATTTGATACACATAAATATATAGTTACATGGTTTGTTATACTTAGTATATTGACATGTACGAAATATAAATAAAATCTAACATTTACTTTGCTTTAAAGTGGATTTTTTAGGGGTTTTTAGTTATTTGTTTTAATATACGTTTGTAAAATTGTTTAAGTTTAGAACAAGTTTTTTTAAAAGTGTTTTCAGAGAATTATGGTTAAGTAGTTTTGTAATTATAGTATTTTTAGCTATTTGTTTGTTGTAGAGGTAAGGGCCGCGATACGAGATGGAGAAACGTGATAGTTTTGTTTTTTTATATGGTACTTTAAAATTTCCTATTCCTCGAGTTTCATATTTATTTCTATTGCATTTAAAAAATTCTTCTGAAAAATGTAATGGGACAAGTCCGAGTTTACATTTGAGCATGAATATCAAATTTTGGTAAATGTTAATTTCGTAGACATTTAGTGCGTTTAGAAGCTTTAGCAAAGGTTCGGCATGAGTAAATTTATCTTTATTAAATACTATTCTTGCAGCATGTTTTTGATGTCGATAAAGTGCCACTAGGTTGGATCTATGGGTACTTGCCCATGCTATATTACCATACGTATAATAGGTTTGAATGAAGGAGAAATAAAGTAGCTTTAAATTTTTTTGGGGTAGCATCGGTCTAGCTTTGTAAAGCATGCAAATGTTGTTTCTTATTTTGGTATTTAATAAGTTTATGTAAGCTTTCCATGAAATATTCTCATCGATAAGTATTCCTAAAAATTTTGTTGCTTTGGTTCTTTCGACAAATTTATTTTCTATTTTTAGAGACGGTAATGGAATTGATATAGATTTTTTCCTTTGATTGGTGTGAAATAGAATGTAGTTGGTTTTTTCTGTACTCAATGATAATTTGTTAGATTTAAACCAAGTATTAAGTTTTTCAAGTTCAATATCTGCAGTTTCGAAGAGTTCTGCGATAGAAGTAGATGAATAAAATAAGTTTGTATCATCTGCAAACATTATGGCATCAAGTTTTTTTGAGACTTTTGGAAGATCATTGATGTATAGCAAGAAGAGTAGGGGAGCTAGAATGGAACCTTGGGGAACTCCGCATTTTATATTAAGTAATTTTGAATGGGTATTTTTATCCATAATAACACATTGCTGTCTGTTTATAAGAAAGCTCTCAAACCAATGTAAAGCAACATTTTTAATGCCATCTTAAGACGTAGACCTATCGCAACAAAGTCTCATTGTTGGCCTATAAAAGAAAATGATCACCCGAGCAGCGACAAAACCTTAATTAAAAAAACGCAATACATTCTATCATCCCCCACAACGCACATGGACCCTTGTCCAGTTATGCAAGGTGACAACAACGAAAGCGATTTCCACATCAGCCTACGCTGTTGGAACCATGGTACAAAGCAAGAAACATACAGAACAAAACAAAAGACTTTTTTTTTTGATTAAATTTAAACATTAAAAAATACAAAAAAAGATAATAGGAATAATAAAACAAAAATAAACGTTTTAACAAAGAGAGTCGTTTATATTTTTCAATTCAATTTTATAACTTGAAAATTTTGAATTTAAGAGTTAATGTTAAATAAATTTAAATATAAAGTGATAAATCTAATATAACGTGATAAATTTAATATAAGGTGATAAATCCGTTGATTTTCAAACCTAAAAAATAACAAAACAATGCTACAATAATGCTACAAAAAACAGTTAATAAGAAACAACAAAGTAAATCAAAAACATTGAACTTTATTGAACCGGTCTTAGGTCAAAAAAAGCAACTTTTGGGAAATAAGAATAAACATTTTAGTTTTTCATAAAAAGTGTTTAAAATTAAAAAGATTTTTAAAAAATTTATAAATAACTTAATACTAACTAAAACAATGTTGTATTAAAATTTTTAAAAAGTTAATTTTACATCTTTTTAGGGTATTTTTTATCTGACTGACTTATTGTGTTATTTGATAAACCAACATAAAAACAAAGAAAAAGTTATTTTTAGGTATGTATTTCTAGAAATTATGACAAAAATCAACAATTCAGTTTTAAAAACTCATTTTATGTATAATATAAAACTTTTAGCACTATGAAAAAAACTTTTTACAGACAAAATAGTGTCCATGTTGAGATGAAAATTTGTAAGGTAATGTTTAAACTACAGTGGTTTAAACTCTGAACCAGCTTTGTCTACAATGGGCTAATTCAGAATATGGTCATAAAACTCTTCAATGTCTTCATCATCTGGAATATATGGCATAAGTTTATATATGCCATATATTCCAGATATATATCGATCCATCCGGATAAGCTTTAACTGAAAGAAGAGTATAAAAATAGATTTTCTGTAAACTACTTTTCCATTTGTTTCAGTTTTGTGGATCATATGCATAAAAGTGCTGATTTTGAATATATCTTTTTCGTTCCTACGCACATTGCGGCCAACTGCTTCATCGGACAAAACTGTTTTTTCATAAAATTGAGGCCACCAGTTCTTAAAAATAGCAACGTCAGCGTTTCTCACAATGATAATAGAAAATGTATTTTACTTGGAGGATGACAGAATCAGATCGTTATACTTTTTTAAGGTATAAATCCAATCAGTTTCCGGATTTTGTCTTTTTAAAATAGAAAAATCCCGATCAAAAAAGTGACCTCCTACAGGAAAATATTAGTTAGCACTCTTAACCTTGTTTTGTAATACTAGTGCAGAACATAGCCTAACAAAGTTGTGGTTTTTGGTTTGGCCCCCACACCCGTCAGAAAACTCATGCAACTCTTCTACATTAATGCAGGAAGTTTCTATATATTTTAATAGAAAGGAGCAAACTTTATCAGGTCTTTTTGCACCAAACCCTTTATGATACAAAAAAAATTTGATTATCTCAAAATTAGTGTATGCAAACAATACTAACGGTCAGCTGCCTGAGGTAAAAAGTCTCTTAAACTGGTATGTAAAGAAGCTGCAAATTTTGTATATAATCTATACAAATCCCTCCTATTTTATCATCATCTTGACATTTTTGTGCAATTTTTTTAAATTTTCTGGAAAACATATTGGCTCTGCAAACATGAACCGTTTCCTCGACAGCTGCATCAGTCTTAACATTGTCGCTTAAATATTTACTTTAAATTTTTATCTGTAATCCATTACATTTGCAGCATGTGTCAACTTGAGGTAATTCAAACCTCGCAGAGAGTTGCAACTTAAATATTTTTAAATAAAATTTGTAATTTACATTGGTTCCAGGACACTTCTGTTGAAATAGAAAGTTTTTATTACGAAAATGTTTTTCAGTTTTACCATAGTAAGTTATTTTAGTTGGATAAGCAGAGATGTGCTCTTTCGACATGTGTATGACACTTTTAGGTTTAGCATTTCCATCTTCGTCCACGCTCATCAAGGAGGGAGTTCTTTTGTTTGAAAAGGTTGCCTAGTTTGCTGAATCTATCACTTGTCTCGGAGTGAATATTTATATAAGTCAATTTGCATACCTCGTGTTTTCCAGATGGTGTTTATATTTCATAAAAAATGTTACACCTCGTTCTAGCATTGAAGACTCATTCAAAGGCTCACGCCTATCTGCAGTTGTTGATGTGTACTGCTGAGGTTGAGCAAGGGGCTCAACCTCAGCAGTACACATCAACAACTGCAGATAGCAATTATTTTTGTTTTTAGTTATGAGACTTATAAACTTGTTGAATACCCTTAGTCATTCAGGTTCTCCAATGATTTTAAAACCCTTTCTTATGCACCTTAAAAAATCAAAAGAAAATAAGTTAGAAAGACATACTCCAAATCATTTTAAGACAAAGAAAAAGGGTTAAACTACATCAGTTAGTAATAGTTGAAATAGGATTTACTTTAGGTTAAGTTAGGCCATACAATATTTAGCATATTTAGGTTATATTAGGTAGGTTTCCTTTGGAGACCTAAACAACTTTTTAATGCAAGAAAATCAAATAACCCAAGTAATTTAGAAAATATATTTTAGGGTGTATAAGCCTGAAAAATTCATTGCTTTAATTTTTACATATTTTACCAAAAGGCTCACCGTTAAAACGTTAAAAATATAACGCGCCTGTTAAATAAGAAGCAGTAAAAACAATAACAAAAACTATCTTACTTGCAATCTTCTTCAGGTTTTTTTTTCAGGTATATCCTTCCCAGCGTAGTTTGTGTAGCGTCATCTATCGACCCGAGGTTTTTTTTATTATTTCACATTTAGACATATTTGCGACTCCTTTAATTTTTACTCTTTGTATATAGGTGTTGTTATCATTGTCAAATCAATTAAAATCTGAAAACCTCATAAATGAAGTGAATCAACTTGATTCACTGTAACTATTCAACTATATTAAACTTAGGGCTACAGCTTTTATTCCATTCAAGTGAGATTTTTTTGTACTGAATTATTCTCTAAGGGAATAATTTCCAAAACAATAATTGTTTTGCTATCATTATTGGTTTTCTAAAGATATTTTCACAATTGATTGTCTGAAGGAAATCGCTCGTGCTGTATTTGTTAATGATTTTAAAAACAAATATCGCAAACAATTATTGAAAGAAAATTGGTTGTGTAACCATTACAATTTCTATTCGCGCTAATTTATGATTCTAGTTTAAGCTGCGTTAGAAGATCCATACAAAAACACTCTAAGTCAGTAAGTTAAAGTGTTTTTGAAATTAACTGTAATTTAAGCTCGCAATCTGTGGCATTATGAAATTTTTTAAGTGACATTGTATTAAACCTTTGATATGACGATTTCGTGCTTAAGTCATATTTGTCAAAAAATGACCTATAATGTTTCAAAAATGACTCTTTCAATTTAAAACTAAATAGAAAAAATATAAATCTTGCATTAGAGAAAGGTTCTTACCCATTTTCCTAATTTGTTATGCCACGCTGGAATTTCTTTTTATAGTTATCTATTTCTTTAAACAATCGATAGCTATTTGCATCTCGTTTTTGAACTTTTATTTATAAAAACAAAGAATCTATAAATTATCAATATTAATTTTATTAAACTAGTTTTTCAGTATTTTTCGTGCATTTAAGAAAAAATATTTTTTTAAAAGTACGGAATATAATAACAACGACGAAATTAATGCAGTGAAAAAATTTAATTATAAAACTCACCCTTTGGGTTTGCAACTTCTCTTTTAAATATTGGCTTGCTTAACTTTGTTTCTAAACTGAACAAATCGGTTTCAATGCCTGTCGGTAAACCACTCAATGGCTCAATACCTAAAAATAATCAAAACAAAAAAGTAACGTTTTGAGGAAAATTTTTTTGAGAAATATACTTTTTGTTTAGTTTACACAAGTCAACTGGGCACCAAAGTAGGCGCTTAACATTGCAGTAGGAGCTTAACCTTTTTAAACAAAAAAGTGTTGCTAAATATTCTCTTTGTTAAAAAAAGGCAATTTTCGGTAAATTTCATTTTTATGTGTTAAAAATAGAACTAAAACTAAAACATAAAAAAGAACTTAATAAAGTAATAGTAAAAAGATGAGAATAATTAAATGATGAGAATATAAATGGATAAAATATAAGGTTTCGAAGAGATATCATAAGTAAGAGATAATTCAAGAAAAATTAAAGTAGACGATTCATCGAGTAGTTTAAAATTTATAAAAAAATGAATTTCCCAGCGTGCATTTGAATGCCCGCAGAAAACAAATTTTCAAAGTTACATTCTAAATGTATTTTAAACGTCTTTTAAAGGTAAAGAACTTTTAAAAGACGTTTTTTAAGAGACATTTAGAACGTAATTTTGAAAAACAAATGCCCGTAAGGTTGGATGGAATAAAATATATAGATGAAACAGGAAGTTTAGTTACAACAAAAATAAAGCAGCATCAATATTCAATGTCGTGAAAAATTGGAAGGATTGGTTGAACATTGACTCTTCACAGTATTGGCTGATCATTGCAAAGTTTGCAATAATAATATTGATTGAGAAAATGTTACGTCACTACAATTAGTAAGCAATTTCTATTAAAGTGCTATAAAATTCTCTAGAGATGAGAATCTCTTGAGACTTTAAAACTCTATTCTTTGAAATGAATTGAGATGTATTTGCTGATATGAAAAAAAAAACATATGTATGTATATCAAAGAATTTAGAAAGCTACTTAATGCAACTAACTCAAGACTTCGATTGTCTAAGCAGTGACTTTCAACAACTTTGATTAAAAGCGTCTTCACTAATTTGGATTTTAAATATTCCTATTACATTTTTGTTTGAAAGTATTTAAAATAAAATTTGATTTTTTATATTTATATGTAAACTTATATATAATACGTATTAAAGTTGACCTTTAAAGAGTTAAATAATATTAATATTAATATTATTATTGTTATTTTATTATCATTGTTTATATATATTTCGTCAAAATAAAAAATTTACAAAATTAGACTTATAATAAAATTAAACTCTTTTTCCCTATATTGACCTTCCAAGCGTCAAGAGAGCGAATTGAGTTTTGGAAACTACTCATTTTTTAAATTTTCGAATTTTTTTTAATTTATGGTTTTAATTATAATCCAATAAGAAAAACGACGTTAGGACAACGTTATTCCCACGTCTTCCGTATAGTTGGAAAGACGTCGGCATGATGTTATAAATAAAACAGCGGAAAACGTCATTTTGCTAACGTTATTTCAGCAATGTAAAATGACGTTGTGACAACGTTACATTTTAGCTAAATGACGTCGGAAAGGCGTTAGAGTAACTTTAATTTTTAGGAAAAAAGACGCTGTAAAAACGTTAGGTAAACATTATATTTTAGATAAAATGACGTTGAGTCAATGTCTTTTCTATCGTTATTTAGACGTTTGAATAATGGCATAAATGAAGCATAGCTCATCGTTATACTGACGACGATGCCCAAACGTTGTAAGAAAAACGTCCTTCATCGATTTTTTATCATTTTTTATGTTATTTCTACACTGCAAAAAACAATAACGCACAATTTTACTCTGTATAACTTTGCGATATTTATATATATATATATATATATATATATATATATATATATATATATATATATATATATATATATATATATATATATATATATATATGTATATATATATATATATATATATATATATATATATATATATATATATATATATATATATATATATATATATATATATATATATATATATATATATATACACACATGTGTGTGTGTGTTTGTATATATATATATATATATGTATATAATATATATATATATATATATATATATATATATATATATATATATACACACATGTGTGTGTGTTTGTATATATATATATATATGTATATATATATATATATATATATATATATATATATATATATATATATATATATATATATATATTTATATATATATATATATATATATATATATATTTATATATATATATATATATATATATATATATATATATATATATATATATATATATATATATACATATATATATATATATATACATATATATATATATATATTTATATATATATATATATATATATATATATATTTATATTTATATATATATATATATATATATATATATATATATATATATATATATATATATATATATATATATATATATATATTGATTTGAGTAAACTTTCTTCACTCTGATAATTGTCCTGATTTTGAATGCTTGATCTTGTCTAGTGGCTAGTTAAACGTATAGTTGCACATTTTTCATTAAATGGTATGATTGTTTTAATGTGGCAATATGGGCATAGGAAATAAATGTTACTAAAACACCTAATCATGTGAATAATGAAAAATTATTGTGAGTACATTTATATTGGTTTTGACATCTAGCCATTGGTATTAAAAGTATGATCTATGATAATGACATGTGTTTTATTTAATGATATTTTATATAAACTAGATGTCTTACTTCAATTTAAAAAGTGAAGCCGTTTTTGTCCTTTTTTTTAAATGACGAACTATTTTGTAAACAAATATTATTTAACTTTTTTTTCCTTATATAAAGTAAATATATTTTAAATCCATATACTATTTATGTGAAATTGTTAAGAGGAAATTAGAGTACTTGTAAAATAATAATTTATGATTTCTAAACATATTTTCGATTAATAACGGATTAAAGTAATTTCTTTTGTTTACTGGTCACTATGTACTAAAGATACAAATTAAATTAACAGAATCAATGCATTGGTTTTGCATTGATGCTAATAAATTGGTTTGGATAAATAGATTATTAAGGCTGTGGATTATTATGTTCCACCATTCATAATATACAATTTAAATAACCTAATTTATTTGTTATAATTTTTTGAATGTTTGCTCTTTCATATGTCTGCTTTTTCATTTAAAAAATTATTGGTTTTTTGGAAGAAGATGCCATTTGCTTAAATGGTAAAGTGAAAGTAAGTAGTTTATATTGAAAGAAAAAACACATAACAAAGTTATCACTAGTATTAAGGAGAGCTATTTATAAAAACGATTTTTGATTCTTAACTTTGTGAAAATGTACGATTTTAGTTTCTTTATGCACCTTGTAATTCATGTTATAAGAAAACATACTGTCTTTGCTAAAATAACCCTTGTAATAAAACAACTTTCCAGAAATCTGAACACAAAGATATAGGGTCTAAACACAAAGATATATTTTGAGGGCAAAACTAAAAATTTTTTTTTTTCCATTATGTCATAATATTGTCTTTTAAATTAATTTTGTTTATTTATTGAAATAAAAATATTTTGGGGGCAGTTTCATTAGTTTTGCAGTTTATCGAGGGATTGTTTTTTCTATTTCAGATAATGTTGCTAAACGATTTGCAATTAATAATCTTTCGATTTCGCATCAAATAGAAAGTTACTCTAATTTCTTGTATTTGTGGTTTTTTGGTTTGTTTATTTCGGATGTTTTCTTATTTCATTCTTAAAAATGCTTTTAATTGAATTTGTTTGTAACTTTATATTTTTTTATATATTTTACTACTTTAGTATCAAACAAAGAATACGCGAATGATTTGAAATATAGTTGAGTTTTGATTTGTTTCATTCTAAGTTATTGCATTTTAATGTTATCTAATTTTATTTTTCTTATCGGGTTAGCTTTTCTTGAGTGAAGCAAGTTACATTATTCTAAAATGGCTTTCTAATGAAACATATTTTTTAAATAGTTTTTACCATAAAAAAAACAATTGTGTTATGACATTACTTTCAATTATACAATATAAAAAAAGTAGCCAAACTTTGAAGTTATGCAATGAAAGTTTGTATGTAACTAAATTCGTTTATATAAAATAAAAACTTCAATACATATTTTGGCCAAATGTTAGTTTCTATGCCTATGATATAGGGGTAGATTAGGGTAAAATGAGCATCTTGTTATTATGAGCATACTAAAAGAATTCTTTGATGTAAGTGAAACTAAAGTTGCTTTGTATTTTTAAATCGACTTTATGTGGTGATAAAAAGGAATCAGTACAATTAGCGTAAATTTATATGCAGTTATTAACAGCTATCATCTAATTAAAACGCTGTTAACTTTTTTGCTAAAAATGCAATTCATTTTTGTATGAAAAACAATGCATAGAAACATTTAATTGTGACTTTATTTAAAAATGTTATTTTTGTGTATTAAGCTCAAATTATTTGTTTCAAATTACCCAGTTTTTTCCTTATAAATTACCTAGCTTAAAGTCCTAAAATAGTAGCGATTTTATTTGCTTTCTGAATAAAAACAAAATATAAAAAAAAATTCATATTTTAACAACTCTAAATATTTTTCTGCAAATTAAATTCAAAAAAATCTCAATTTTTATTGTTCAAAGGTTTGAGTTAATAAAATTAAAAAAATAATGAACTAATTATAAGTATTTTTTTTTCGGGGGAGGTTGGGGGGGGAGAAACATAGTTGTATTGTTTCAACAAAAAAGTGGTTCAAAGTTTGATCTTTTAATGATAAGTTTTATTAACAAAGAATGGTTATATTACAAAAATTAGTTTTGATTGTAAGGTTGGTACTTTTTTACTTAATTAATGTTATTTTTTTGAGCTTATTTAAAAGGCTCATATTACCGTCTTGGTAATATGAGCACTTTTGCTACTTTTTTAAAACCTCTTTGTTTTTAAAAAATTATTTTGGAAGCTGAAATAATTAAGTGGATCATGAGTTGGGATTGGGAAAGTTGTTTACTTGCAAAAATTTTGGATGCAGCATAATTATTTTTGAAAATATTCGATTTTTCGCTTGGGGTGCTCATATTACCCTAATCTACCCTATATATCCATAAAAGTACGGATAATTTATAACAGCGACCAAAAAAATGGAGTGCTAAAATTTGGTTTTTAAACTCACCCTTTGGGTTTGCAATTTCTCTTCTAGAGATTACCGGGATCGAATTTGTTGTTGAATTTTTCAATTCCGTTTCAACCATTTGTCCTAAATGACCAAAAGACTCAATACCTAAACGAAATCAAAACAAAAAGGTAAAATTTTGAAAAAAGAAATAAATTTTTCATTTAATTTACAAAGGGCTACTTTGCACCAATGTTCTACGATAAACATAACCATTTTAAACAAAACCAAATATTTTACTTGTTCGACAAAAAACATTTCTCAGTTAGTTTTATTTTATGTGTTCGCAGCAGAAGGAGAAAATCAAAATGCATATCAGAAATTCAGAAAACTTTGCTTATGATAATTAGAAGACTAATGGTACTCAGACGAGTCCGATCTGACTCTAAATTTTTTGAAAATAGTTGATAGATGCAGCTTTTAACCAGGCTAGAATTCAAGACTGTAAATAGGCCTTATTAAATAGTTTTGAAAATAAAGACGATAGCTCCGAAGAACACTTCTGCAAAACTATGACAGGTATGTAGTCCGGACTACACGATGTAAAAAGTCCTAGCCAGAAATAACTTTAGATACAGAAACCGGAGTAATACGGATGTCAAACAATAAATAAAGCTGTTTGTTGGCACTTATATTATGATTAGTGGAGTTTATTGATGAAACTGATCAAAATTAGTAAGTAGTTCAGCTTTGTCTTAATGTGAGGTAAAATAATCTGAACCTTGCAAAAGAAATGAAATAACAGATTTTTCTGGATACTATCAAAGATTTTCTAGAAATGACGAGAGCCTATTTTTTGAAATAAAATATTGACTGAGATCAATCCAAGACGTATGTCCATTAAGAAGGTAAACGATTAAGCGTACCGTTATTTTATACGTTACCCTATACGTTAGCGTATAGGTTACTATATACTTTACCGTCATATAAAAAATATAAAATATATTTGAAAAAACAAAAACGAAACTCTTAAAATCTTTATTAATCAAAGCTATTAGACAAAGCCTACGGAAACACCAAAAGGACTTAGAATGTATATATGTATTTAAGAATTGTAATGTATATTATTATTATTATTATTATTATTATTATTATTATTATTATTATTATTATATTTTCTTTGCCGCATAATTAAATTTACAATGAGAAAAAACCATTCATGTATAAAAATTGGCCGGAGCAAGAAGAAGACATAAACTGTCTTATCGCCAAGCCCCGTTTACATCAACGTCACAAAGTTACAAGTTAAAAACTAAAAGGTTAAAAATTGAAGTACAATACAATATTAGTTCGACAAATATAAGACACAAGTAATAAATCGAATAAATGTTATTTGTCTGTTCAAAATTAATAGCATATATATTTTTTATTTTAATAAGAAATAAACAAGATACACGAGACAATAGTAAATGAGTAGTGATGACTTTTTCAGGTTTAATTATTTTAGGTGATTTTAGAAAAAATCTTTAAAATCGAAAGTTTTTTCTAATAGAAAACGTTTAGATTCTCATTTGAATTGTTCTAAGGAGATGCCTCGAAGAATTTTATTTTTAATTATATTTTTTAAAAAACCTTTCCATATAAATGGTCCCCGGTATTGAATTTGAAATGAATTGAGTTTTAAATAAGATCTTGGAATAACAAAATTATCAGATGAAAATTTAGTGGAATATTTATGAGATATTTCGGTAAAGTAAGACTGAAATATATTAGGAGATAACGCATGTTTTGTTTTAAACGTAAATAGCATAACTTGGTATAAATTAAGTTTGTAAATATTAAGCACATTAAGTTTCTTTAAAAGAGATTCACCATTAACAGTTCTGTTAACGCCAAAAATAATCCTACAAGCATGTTTTTGTTTGCTATAATTTTTTTTGAGCTTCCCATAATTGGTACTTGCCCATGCAAGATTACAATAGGAAAGATAACTATGAATAAATGAGAAATATATAATTTTTAAAGATTCCGTATTAAGAAAAGGTTTAACTTTATATAGCATTGAAATATTTTTGGAGATTTTATTTTCAATAGATCTAATATGATATTTTCATGATATATTTTCATCTAATATCACTCCTAGAAAGTTAATAGTTGACTCTCTTTTAATAACTTTTTTGTTCATAAAGAGATCAGGTAGTTTTAAAAAAAGGTTATCACCTTTACTAGGTTTGTGGAACAACATAAATTTAGTTTTCCCAACATTTAATGAAAGTTTATTATTCGTAATCCATTCATTTATTTTTAATAACTCTTCATTAAAAATTCTAAACAGATCTTTAATATTTCTGTTAGAGTAAAAAAGATTTGAGTCATCAGCAAACAAAATAACGTTTAGAATTTTGGATGCTAAATACAAATCATTAATGAACAGTATGAATAATAAGGGCCCTATGATTGAACCCAGGGGAACACCACAAGTTATGATATGTTTTTTTTCTTCATTTTCTGTATATATTATGTATTGTTTCCTGTTTGAAAGGTAACTTTTAAACCATTGTAAGTTATTGTTTAATACTCCATACATTTCTAGTTTTTTTATTAGAATATCATGATTAACAGTGTCAAATGCTTTTTACAAATCAATAAAAACTCCTAATGTATAGCAATCATTATTGAACCCATTGGATACATAATTTATTAGATCGACTACTGCATGGTCCGTTAAATGATTTTTTTTAAACCCAAATTGTTTATTATACAGAATATTGTTCTCAGTTAAATAGTTGTTAAGTCTATCATACATAATTCGTTCTAACAATTTAGAGAAACATGGTAAGACAGAAATAGGTCTATAATTGGACATATTTGTATCACCGCCATTTTTAAAAATAGGTATAATCTTAGCAATTTTTAATTTCTCCGGTACAATACCGGATTTTAAAGAAAGATTAAAAATGTGAAACAGTGATGGTTCAATAATATCAAACACAGCTTTAACTACATTTACGCTAATTTTATCAATGCCCGCACATTTATTATTTTTTAGACAGTTGAAAGAATTGCGCATCTCACTTAAGTTTAAATTAGATTCTATCATAGATGTGTTGGGTGTATTTATATAAGATTCGAAGTTGTTTGAGTTGGTTTTTGGAATTTTATCAGCTAATTTTGGTCCAATATCAAGAAAAAGTTTGTTGAGCTTGTTAATTATGACTTCTTTATTATAAATTATATCCCCGTCAACTAAAAGTTTTTCTGGCAATTTATTCTTTTGACATTTATTTGTACCGATTATCTGCTTAATTACATTCCACGTCTTTTGTGTGTTTCCATGTGTTTTTTCTAGCAATTTTGCATAATAATTTTTTTTTAGATTGTTTCTTTATTTTTTCAAACAAGTTTTTATAATTTTTATATTTTGTTTCATTTTTATATGTTTTATGTTTTAAATATTTTTCATAAAGGTTTTGTTTCCTCTTTGATGATATGAATAAACCTTTGGTCATCCAAGGGTTTAAAAGTGATTTAGGATTTATAATTTTTTTTATAACTGGAAATGCCAAATCATAGTATTTACAAAACTGCGCCAAAAATAATTCATACGCATTATTCACATCTTGCGATTGTAATAAAAGATCCCAATTAGTTTTTTCAGATAAAAGATTTCGAAAATATATTATGGAGTTTTTATTGATTTGTCGCATTGATATTGTTGATTTAGAGACAGAATGATTAAGGGTTATATTATCTGTAGTTAAGAATATTGGGTAATGATCTGTTATGTCAGTTAAATTATACCCGATTCTAAAGGGCAATTATGAAAATTATTAGTAAATATGTTATCTAGTAAGGTCGACGAAGTCTTAGTTATTCTCGTCGACTTATTTATAGTGGAAATGATATCGTATTGTATAATATATATATATATAAAGATACATTGGATATAAAGTTTCGGATATATAATGGGTATTTCTGGCTGAATTTTTCAATCAAAAAACAATTTGAGTGCTCTGAATGTAATCTGTTTTTCATGGCGTATCAATAAAAGTTTGGTGTATTGGCCAAATCACTTGCAAGCATCTTGCCTTTAGGCTGCCATACGTTAAGTCACGCTTTTAAAAGTAACTGAAAGCAGCCGTAAATAAGAATTTTTTGGTAATTGTCTTATTTACAATATTGTTTTTGTTTTATTTACAGTATTGTCTTTGTTTTTTATCTAAACAGCTATGTTTGACCCAAATATAGTAAATGTTGATTGTTTAGTATGGTTTCATCTCTTCTTTATACTTTTTTTTTGACATATATGAGACTGCCTTAGAACGGAATTATCTGTGCCTCCGGTTTAAAAGGATGCAGTTTACAAAAAAAGTGACACTGATGAGATTGTCTCTCAGTTTCTCAAAGATTGAAGAAATCTTTAGTGTTTTAGAGTTAAGTGATTCCATCAGAGCTTTGCTTGACTGTCTCTTTCGATTTATTGAATTTATTTGCCGGTTTTAGATGAAAAAAGATTTTTTAAACCTAGAAGGAGAATTATGGAACAAAGACACTTAATGAGTCAATAGCATATATCAGTGAATTGTTATTAGTTTATTGTTTTTAGAAACAGTACCATGTACTAAATGTATTAAATTTTCTAATTTTTAAAATAAATGATACATTTATATGAAACATACAAACAAATGATATAATATGATACGTGAATGAAAATTTATATTTAAAAATTATATTGTGATGATATTTAAAAAATGTTTTGGTAGAGTTGCGTTTAGTCGTTTATCGTTGTATTCGTTCATTTTGAAATCGCTACTGACAAGTATTGAAAAAAAAAATTGGCAGCTTTCTGGCGACGTCCATTAACAGATATTATGGAAGAAAAATAGAACCGTAACTGAGCAACGCCCAATATTGAGCAATGAAATAAGTATCGCCAATATAATGAAAGTCGATGCCCACTATTTCATAGTGAGAGTATAATACAGTAGTTTATATATATTAATGTATAATATATATACATATATATATATATATATATATATATATATATATATATATATATATATATATATATATATATATATATATATATATATATATATATATATATATATATATATATATATATATTTTGTAACTGTAATTAAATAGCATTGATTTTATTTTGT